AATCCAGGGCTACACAAAGAAACCCTGGATCAAAAAAAAAAAATCTGGATGGACCTACCTTTTCAGGAACTGTGTCCATGACCAGGTCTCCATACATGTTCATCACCTGGGGAAAAGAGGAGAGTAACTTGCCCTAGAGGGTGTGGCGTGGGTACAGGGTTGGTTCCCCTGTGCAAAAGGCTCCACTCTACAAAGGCTTTTTCAAGTTCCCTTTATCTTCCTCCTCTTACCTGGTCATTGAGCCAGTTCTGTCCATATAAGGTCCCCAAGTCATCCATGGTGAGTACGTGTCGTTTATAGGATACCCGGAAGCCCCTTACCATGGCATTGCCTGGCATGCGCTGGTAGGACTGGATCAGCTGCAGTACCAGACTCTTCCTGAATAGGCCAAAGGTTAGCAAACATATAAGAGCTAATGGGCTGGGGCAGACAATTTGTCCATTATTATCTAGAATAAAATTCTAAAATGACCTTTTTCACCAGTCCTTTTGAGGGTCTCCCACGCCCCAGAAAGAACAGAGGGAAGATCAGGCATAAACTTCTCAGCATCTCATAGTATCCCAAATAAAGATCTTCCTAACTGTTTTCTAGAGCCTGGTACTTGGTCTGCAGCTTCCTTTCCTGCACCTGTAGCTTTCACATCCTACATCCATCCCTAAAGGAGGAAAAGCATTCTCTCCCCGGCCTCAAGGTCTCAGCCCTCCTTCAAAGCTCACCTGGAGGGAGTAGAGAACTCCTGTTGGAAAATGTCCTCCAGCTTCTCGACAACTTCATCAGTGCTGAGGGGGATGAGGCTACCATAAGTTTGAAGGAATTCATCTAAGATGCCTAAACAGAGGTAGAAGAATAAGGTGAGACCTTTAGACTCTGGCCTAGGAGGTGGCCAAAAGGAGACTTAAGTCCTCTAAAGGCTTACTCTGCACGCAGGTCACGTGTTCCTCCCGTAGAGGGCTATGCTGGCCAGCTTTCTCCTCAGGCCGTTCTGCCTCTTCCGCAGTGCCCAAGTCAGAGCCCTGAAAAAGTTCCTGAGCCACATGGTCCCCAATGCTGCACACATTGCTGATGAGTATGCTGGCATCAGGGGGTGCCAGGCTGCGCTCCCCTTCAGGACCAGATAGCCCCCCAAAACCATTAGGCAGAGTACATGAGAGGAGGCCTGTAAGGCATGGAAAACGCAAAGGGATGAGAAACTAGCCCCAATAAAAGAACTGATCCACACAACTAAGACCACAGAGCATGGACAAAGCAGATCTAGCAACATAAGCCTTATGGAACGCAGGACACCGCGTGCCCTCACCCCCACGCCTAATGAAAGGCCGTCCAAAGATTTAGAAAAGACTTCCTGTTCGCCAGCAGTAGGAAAGCAGAGTAGGATTCAGAGAGACTTCAGAAATACCCACTACCAACATATGCTAACACCTAGCCTCGTACACAGTACATAAGGATGGATGATAAGTCATCCATCAGGCTGGAGTTAGAAGATATTCTAGATAAAAATGTTAGACTACAGATGATACACCCTTCTCGTAGAGGTCCATTCACAAGCAATGAGTGAACTGTGGAGATATGCACAAGTCTGAACCTGAGAGGAAGGTGGCTTTGGGATGGACAACCCCGACTTTCCTAAACCAGAGTGCCCTTTGTCATCTATGCTGAAGACCAAGGCTGCTCCGTGTGTTCCAAGCATCATTACTGCTCAAAATGAGATTCTCCCACTGCCACACAATAGGAGCTTTCTTTGCATCCTAGGCTGTTCTCCTGTCTTAGGCTCCCAAGTGATAGATTACAGGTGAGTGCCAGAACAGGTCTTTCGAATTAAGGCTCAATGAGATCCTTCCGCAGCTCTTTTGGACGCCTAGCTCTGCTTTCCTTAGGCCCCGTTCTCACCACAGCAACAACATCCTGGTGCTCCATCTCCCACCTTACCGGCGTCGGGGTCCAGAGGAGACTTTGGGGTCCACCTTAGTCCATCTTCCTCCATGGGGGGCCCAGAGGGCACTGGTGAAGACCCTCTCATCCCGTCCTCAGCCATGAGAGCACCTAGCAGACCCAGTCGGGGTGGGGGTGGCCCCCGGGGGGAATCCAAACGACAGCAGGGTGACGGCACCTGTGGCGTTGCACACCCTTCCTGGGCTGAGAGATGGTTCTTGGTGTGTGCCAGGTTCCGCCGCCGGCCTCGGTGGCGCCCCCAAAGCTTCCAGTGGAATGTCAACGAGGTGCTTTTGGAGTAGAGCAGCATCTGGAAGGCTCTCATGGCTCGGCGCCGGCGCTGTGAGCAGGCTTTTCTATGAGAGGGCCGCAGAGGGCGAGGACGCTGGGAGGCCCCCAGGTGGCCCCATCTAGGGGGCAGCCTCCAAGCTGCTACTTCCTCCTCCTCATCTTCCTCCTCCTCCTCTTCCTCTTCTTCACTAGCTGAGGCATCGAAAGAGGGCCGAGGTGCAGGGAGGCGTCTAGTTGGCACTGTGGTCCCTGACCCAGGATCTGGCCCAAACCCACCACCTGACTTGAGCCGGGGCTTAGGGGGCAGGGGCCAACGAAGACGTTCTCGTCTGGGGTTTGAGTAAGTGGTGCCGGGTCCCGGGGGCTCAGGCCCCCAAGACCCGGTCCCTTGTATAGTCTCTTTCATCTTCCAATACCCTGTAAAACAGAAACGTCGATATCAGAATCAACATCCTACTCCTTCCTCCAAGGAAATGCTGTTCCTCAGCATTTCCCCTCTGGTTTCAGATACAAATAAAAATCTAAAAACCCCTACCTTCAGCTCTTCCCAGCTAACCTGGTCCACAAGGAACCCTTCAGAGTTTGCCGTCATTTCTTCCCTTGCCCAGGTAGAGAAGCAATGGAAAATGACTAAGTGGCAGGCCTTAGATTTTAGTTCTAAGCTCCTTGCGTGAAGCCCAGTATTTCCAGGCTCCCCTTTAATGCCACTATGGGTGTCCTTAGGATAAGTCTTAGGGTTATTTGCTCAACACGGGAATCCCGATTGTGTACCTGGAAGACAACTTCCACTAGGAAAACTTTGTTCCCGAGTGGGAAGTTCCCGTCAACCCTGGAACATATCGTTCCAGGGGGGAGGAAGGGACACATACGCCTCAAGTGTGGGGAAAGGTGCTGCCAGGGTTATGGCTCAGAAAATGGGGTGTTAAGAGGGGAAGATTTCGAAGGAAACTGTAAGCAAACCGAGTCGGTGTCTAGTGACCGAAACAAGAGGATAGGAGAGAACGAAGGCGGGGGAGCCAGGCAAACCAGCCCCTCTCCAGCCTTATCCCGGGGAACCTGAATGCTTCCCGACCCGGTATAGTTCTGAAACCTAGGGCGGTTCGGCACACACGGATCTCAAGTCCCTTAAAGGGCCTCTTGGGCCCAGTTAGGTGCGTGCGAGGACCAGGAATGGAAGAGGCCACAGAAGGGCGGGGGGAGGGGAAGGGGCGTCCTCACCCGGAGCGGGGAGCCGGCCACACGGGCCCCAAGGCGGGTGTCTCCGCCTCAGGCTTTCCGGCTCATCTTTCGGACGGCGGCGACCCCGCCACTCCTGCTGTCTTCAGATGGAGCCGTCTCAATTCACGATGCCAACGCTCCGGGCCGCGCGCCGTGCCGCCCCGCCGCGGCCGCCTCTAGCGCGGCTTTAGCCTCCACCTCCACCTCCACCTCCACCACCGCCACCACCCCTCCTCCTCCTTCCCCTCCCGCGAGCCCCAGGCCCACCGCCGCTGGCGGCGCAGGGTTAGTACGTCACACCCGGCGAGCGGCGCCGGCGCGGCCAGCTCGTGCCCGGTCCCGCC